TAATTTTCTTTTAGGTTAGGGGAAAAGTAAGAAATACCAAGTAGTGATACATATTTATTCTTTAACTATATTATACCAATTTAGAAGGAAAAAAAGTATATATATATATATTAATCTTACAGAAGAATTATTCCTCACTTGCCGAGTAATTTTCTCAATTTTGTCTTTCTTTGATGATTTGACAAAGCAATAGGCATTACTCTTCCCAAACATACATGACCTAAGTGGGTTTGCTTTCCTACCCAACAAATCAGACTTTGCTGGAGTAAACTTTAATTGCTTGAGAAAACAACTGAACAAAAAACCGAAAATACATTGGATCCTTCATTAAACCACACATGATACAATATGCAATTTCACCCCTAGCCATTCCTATCTCCACACCCCCCCCCCCCCCCAAAAAAAAAAAAAAAAAAGACATCCCTAGTTATTAGAATTCACACAAAGTACTACATAAATTCTTGGCATTCAATGCAGAAACCCAATCCTGGAAAATGGAAATTCACCCATCTGCAAAAAGCAAAACAAAGAATCAAGAAAAAACATCAAGATAATAAAGAGAATGGTAAAAGCAGGATGAAGTTCATTTTTGGTACCACTATGTGTTCTTGAGTTGAAGATTGGAAAGTCGTGAGAAGAGGGGATGGATATAGAGAGCCTGGCTGTTGTTGTAGGTGATGCTTTGTTTGATGTTTTATCATCTAAATCAAGCCATGAATCTCTATGGTTTGGAGGCCATTCATCAAAGAACCGATGCACTGTTTTCTGGGGTTCTTCATTTTTCTCCAATTTAGTAGGCATCCCACCTTTGGTTTCATTTCCTAATACATAAAACTGTTGCTGCTCGTGCTTGTTCTGTTTTGGACTCGAATCATGGAGGCTCTGCAGCTGTAAGCATGAGTATTCATTGTTCCTCTGTTTTGAAGGAGTAGATGAAGAAGTGGAGCTCATTGTCAATGGTGTAAGTTGCCATGAATCCTCCATTGATGAACCAGAAAAGCTCCTCATTGTTCCAGAAGGTTCTGAGAAGAAAGCATGTTCATCCACATCTTCTTTAACACCATAAACGTAACTGTTCCTTCTTCACAGAAACATCCCAAAAAATAAAATAAAATGAACACACCCATTTCATCAGAAAACGAAAATTTTCAAGTTTCCAAGAATAAAGAATCAAAGAAATGTGTTTTTTTTTTTTTATATTTCAGGGAATCCAGACCTGTAATCTGCGTTAGTCCTGGAGAAAGAGCCAGAGTCTAGGAGGGAGTGGGTGGCGTTTTCTTGAGGTGACAGACTACTCCCAAGAGGCCTTGAAGTAAGGGGAAACAGAAATGGGTGATTGACGGGATAGTGAAGCTGATGCGACGGAGGGATGTGGTTCTTGGCGATTGATGCGACTGTTGCTGTCGACGGATCTGCTGCTGCTGACGGCGTTGCAGCAGCTGGGGTGACTTCCACAGGCTTTCTTGAACGGTTTTTCCCTCTGTGCATGTGCCTCTCACAGTATTTGGAATCTGGGTATGCTTCCTTGGAGCACCTCCATTTCTTCCCGTCCGTTCGCCGGCACCGTCCTGGCTCTGGATCAATTTTCCTTCCCAAACCCATCTGGAAACAGTTCCATCCTACTGAAAATCCAAAACCCTATAAGAATACAGAAATCTGAGAAGAAAGATGAAGAAGAAACAGAAAGAACTTACTGTGTTGAGGCTGACGGGGGAAAAGCTTGGTAGAATCAAAGCATCTTCTTTTGATGGAGATGAGAAGATCAGGGGGAATAGGAACGCCAGAGATCATGTACTTAAAGAACAGAGCTTGGTGTTCAAGCTCTTGCCATTGTGAAGCAGTAAAGGGAAATCTGTTTCCTCCACTCATCACCAAGAAGAAGAAAGTAAAAGGGAGGAGGAAAAGGAAGATGTCAAGAGAGGAAATGACACCAGCAAAGTGAAAATTAGAAGAGGAAGAAGAAGCAGCAGCAGGGGTTGGACTTTCTAAGGTGAAATGGTAAAGAATAAAAAAAAAAGGAAAACAGTGTTCCTACCGAGTGAAAGGAAGAAGAAAGAAAGAGAGAGGTATATTTATTTTTGTAAGGACCATTTTCCCTGCAGAATCTTCTGCACATGGATAAAACTGATGGTTCTGATTATAATGCTGCCACCTGCTTTCCCTCTGTTTCTTCTCTCTCCTGATTCTTGCTGCTTCTGCTGCACATATTATGAATGCACCTCTCTGTTACTTTCTGGTCCTGCAGCTAAGCTTCTGCCACTGTGGCAGCTCTTGTCTCTGACATCAGTACAGAAACCCATAAACTAAAGAGTGGAGAAGGGAAGTGGTGGGATTATTATTAAAAAGGCTGTAAAAAAACAAAAGAGAGAATTATTATTATTAGTTATGAGAGTTGGTGTGGTGGGTTTGGTTCTGAAAACCCCGAATGCCTGCACAAGTTTTGTACGGGTTTGGAGCTTTTACTGCCACTAAACTCTTTTTCTTTTTCTGTTTCTTTACCTCAGAGGAGGGTCAGTACCCTTCACATACCAATTACCATTTGGGAAAGTGAGAAAAGGAGAGGTCAGGGTCTTTGGCTTCTTTTAGATCCTTATTTCTAACATTTGCACGTTCCTCCTAATTTCTTCTTTCCCCTCAAAATCATAGAATATTATATGTATATTTGCTTCTTTGTTTTGTGCTGAATTGTTAATGCCCACAGAGAAGGAAATCGAATGTGCTGCTTTTCCTGTTTTCTTTAGAAAAATACCCTACTCTAATTTAGGCCATCTGAACCTGTGGCTAGAGGCCTTTTTAAGCACAAGGTTCTGGTCATTTGTATAATAACACTTCACACTCTCAAATAAAACTTCATAAAAGGTCTCGTTAAGCCCAGACTCTCCCAGCTAGAGTTTCAATCTAAAAACGTCTTGTAACGTGTTTAGAAGAATATCAAAATCTGTTTAGCCAAAGTCATTTGATGTTCCAATGTTCCAATATCGGTAAATCCTATTGAACCTTTACGTAATGAATTTCGTTTTCAGATAAAATAGTTTGAGAAAAATTTATCGTCCGATCAAAATTAAGATGTTATGCTAAAATCTTAGCTGGATTAATTGAAAATTTTTCAATCCACTCTTTTTTTCCAACCTAACACACCCTAAAAGTTGAACTTCATAACAACGACGAGATATTTGGGAAAAGGGTTGGTCTATCTCCTGTCTATTGTTCAATTCCACTAGAAAAATTGATGAGATGGTAAAATGGCATTGCAGTAAAACAAGAAAACAAGAGAGATTTTATTCCACGAACAAATGAAGAGAAAGATCTTAGGGATATCTATTTATTTTGTTCGGTTGCATTTTCTGAGTTCCTGACCCTATTTTGTATGTTGTAAGAGAGTGGCAGGGGGTTGTACAAGTAATGGAACTCCATGGCACCGTTCACAGAAGGCAGAAAACCTGTCGTTATCTCCTGAGCATAGAGGTTCAAAGTTGGAACACATCCAAAACACCTTTTATATTTTTGTAGTTTTTTTGTGTGAAAACAGCCCCACTTGCCCAGAACAATCCCCACTCCTCAGGCTCTTTCCAATTAATTCCTCTTGTCAGATTTCTCTGAAGACTCTGTTATAGTGCCCACTTCATTACATGCTCTTTATTTCACCTTTTAGATTTGGGTGGGTGTATGTTTAAAACACATATAATCAAAATGCATATCGTATTCATATTTTATATAAGGGATGGGAATTTTCGGATCGACCTGAATAAAAAAAAAAGTACAAGACGTCAATAAAAAGATTTAAATATCATTAATAAATAAATCATTCATATTAAGGGATTTACCTACATCTTTTTTTTTTTGTAGATCAACCCAAAAAACACCATTTTGTTTTCATAATGTGTTTGGCAAAGCTTGTTTGTTTATTTTACATAATTAGATTTGAATAACACTTCTACAAAGTTTTAGCTACACTAAACAAATTCAATAATTTTCTCTTAAAGTTACGTTTTGAAATTGTTTTCATACAACATTTTTCCACACAACATATTTTTAAAAATATTAACTATAATAAAGGGTAATAGTCACAACCCTATATGGCAATTATGACAGCAGTCGAAGACAAACTTCACATGATAGTGTATTTGTCAAGAATTTTCTTTACCTCACTTTTCCAATATCCAAACCATTTGCCAACCAAGCCAACGTCTACTACAGTGATTTCTTAAAGAAAAGTAAGCATAAGTATGAGGACTGTAATACTTGTTGATGAAACCCTTCTAACTTCAAGACTTAAACCGGTGAACCTGCTTCCAAACTACTTCTTCACCACATGGCTTCTGCATGATCTTTAATTCGCCTGCTCCATTTTCCAAATAAAACAGAAGTCACAACCTAGGTCTAGCCCAAGCAGAGAAGAGAGGTCCCCGGTGCCATTTTTGAGGACAGAGAAAAACAGAGAAGATCTCTGATCTTCATAGCTTTAACAATCAATTGCAAGCCCTGGACCACCACCACTGAATCAATTCAATGAGTTCTAAGAGAGCAGCACCTGTTCTGGCCGCTGCATGCTTGTGGTGGGGAGAGGGTAAAAGTTTTTCCTTGCTTGCCCTAGATTGTTGCAGGTCCATCTTAAATGATGGCATACCAACCACGTGTGAGAGGGACAACTCGAGATTGAAAGCAGTTACTTTTGTCTCATGGAAGACATCTTGTACAACATTTAAAGTTTCAAATAAGAGCACGAGAGATTTGAAAAGAGAAAAGATTATCGTTTGTCCTATAGAATTTGCTTAACTAAAGCTTTCAATTAACGAAAATGTGTTCTAACTTAGGTACTTGTATTAATTCATTAAATTTACTGTAGTTATTTTAACACTCAAGCTGTCGTTTTTTATGTAGTCCGAATTGAAAGATTAAAAACTCTACCGTAAAACATCATATAGAGTTTGTTTGGTCTAACTAAAGCTTTGATACAGGTATAATTTGCGTAAAACATTTTTCCACCATGACATGCTCTAAGGAAAGAAATACAACGTCTCCTAGGGACATCATAGTGGTTAAGATTTTGACTCTCCAAATTGAAAGTCGTAAGTTTGAATTTTAAGACAAGTAAAGAGGATTTTTTTGAAATGGGAGGATTATCCCCTGTTGTGCTCAAATATATCATATATTTGAAAGGGTATTTGTAATTCAACTTTCATGTTGTTTCCATCTTTCAATGTTGAGTGAGCGAAGTAGAGAAATGGCAAATAAGAGGAAAATGAGTGAAGTTCTACAGGAAGAAAAAATTTTCGCTGATGTTAAAAACATCAGTCTAACATTATACATTCCTGAACTTACGTTCAAGTTACAACAAACACACTACAATTAAATTTGAAGGCATCCTTGTACGGCTACATTTCCTATTCCTTCTGGTAAAATGAGAGAACAAGGTCTGTATGTACAGAGAACATTTGTGTGTCCACAAAATGCTGCGAGTAGAAGAAAACGGAGAGATTGGTGTTTTTTCAGCTATTGCTGGTATGGTATAACTTCTTGTAAATTAGCTTGTGAAAATTTCAGGATTTGGTAAGTTAAAAAGACAACATACTAAAGGAACTCACCTTCATAAAAGGACGATCACGACTAGGGAACGAGTGAATGAAACTATCCTTTAAAAGCAAGGATACCTGGACAATGAGGGAATTTGGGATTCTTTTCAGCATTTACTATTGAATTAATAGAAGTTAGGGTTGATTGTTGGAGAACAGTATTAATCTAGTATATGATAAAATAGCATGGTATATGATCATTTGAGGAAGTACGAACCTTGTCGTTGTTGGACTGCACATTTGTTATTGTGTGTGACCGCATGTTAAAGCAAAGAGTATCCAAGTAAGATCTTAACACTTGCAGAAAGCTCTTGGCAGCTTCCATCTATATGTAATCATACAACACAAAAATATCGGTTAACCAATGACTGAAAATAATGGCTCCACTTTGTCAAACAATTCTTGAATAAACAATGACAGAGAATAGGAAAGTAAATACAAAAGAAGTGACGGATTAATATCCAAATACAAAATGCAGTAATAGGCTCAGCGGGTGGAGCAGGGGAAGAATCTTAGATTTATGTTAGAATGTGACAAAATTTATCAGGAAGAGTATGGTAAAGCTAATGAGTTATGGATCAAGAAGAATGTGAACCTGCACGTCTGTACATTCATTTACTGGCCTTTTCTTCCCCAAATAACTTTCTCCAACAAGCTTTGCATGATAAGGACTTAATAATGAATATAATTCCTTTTGCTTTGGCAGTTGTGGTATTGTAGGTGACTTTACCTAACACATCAAGCAATGAGAAGCCAACTGATGTTAAGGTAAAGAAAAATGAGCGTTATGGTGGTGCTGAGTTGACGATATCAGTGGTTTGATATTAATAACAAGAAGTTGGATCAAAACCTGGTTCTTATTAGCATCAACAAGTATGGCATTGGTTAACTTTGACCGTACTTCGCTGGTTTTATCCTTTACACCGACCTGTAGATGAGTTTTACTTTAGTGGGTAGAACAAAATCAGAGGAAATACTAACAAGAAGAAAATGACGATGACAAAATTTGAAGCATTATAAGATTCCATTACAACAACGCCGAATTCCAATAATTGAACAAGAAGATTGAAACTCACTATGTAAGGAACAGGTGCATCCAAAAAGTCCAGCATGTCATCTGGCAAAACCTGAAATTATTCATAAAATTACTAAAATGATAAATGGTCATGAACCCAACAAAATCTCTAAGAGACCAGGAGAGAATACTGGCATCAGCAGGCTCTGCCATTGGTAGGGACGAATCAGTGGAATAATTGACAAAACTGTGGCAGACAAGATGCCCTGCATGTCAAAAAGTGAAAAAAAAATATTATCCCAAAGGCTTTCCTTCTACTGATGGATATACCACTGAATACATGATTCAAATAGAATTTCAAAACATCAAGCAGTTAATAGAACTCACTTTTTTTTATTTTCTTTTGATAGAGAATAAGTAGTTCAACTGAATAATGATCACCTCCTAACAATACAAATAAAATTATTTATGCTAAACACAGTCCTGAACCTATTAATAAATTTTTACACTCTAATGGATTGGTCCTTTGAGCTCCAGAGGAAATGTTACCCTATTTTTGAAATTCAAACCAAACAAATGGAGCATCCCCAAAAACTTCATTATTTAATTGTGTTTGAGACTCAAAGTAATCACTGAAAGGCAAACATAATTTAAGATGTGAGCCCATAGTTACCAAATTAGAACAGATGATCACAATCTGTTTCTCCAATAATGCCCCTGCAAATATTGTCAACACCTGCAGAATACAACAGAAATCAATATTGCTAAATGCTAACCACTCAGAAATTGAAACAAACAAACACACATTTTAATCATCAAAATTCTACCAAAGAAATTACAGGAAATAGCCAATATTCCATCTAATCAACACAAATGCATTTGAATTGTGACAGACATTTGTGTCACAGCAAGGGCTAACAAAGGCAATAGTAAATTTCAATCATTAATCACATAATTGCACTCATAAGCAGACAAGCCACTTGAATGGTTAACAACTAGAAAGCAGTTTTACATTGCAGCTTTGCTTCACTAGATATTTTTGCCTCTAAAAAAATTAATAAAAAAAAGGCAGAAAGAAATATTGGCAGAATAAATTTCCTACATTTAAAGCCTAAAAAAGAACGAGCACAATATCAACAATGAATGAACTTAATGGAAAACTTGGAAATAGGTCTGCATGGTACTAGAAATAAAATAGGGACAAAAACCTACGTGCTCAAGTCGCAAGGATCCACACATGCATGCAACAGCCCATGTTGACAGCGCAATTGCTTCCTCTTCAGCCAATAGTGCACTGTGTGCCTGATAGAAGCAAACAGCAGTAAGATGTGACTGACCCTACTCAATTCAAAATGATTACTACAACATTTAGGCTGCTGAGTTAAACTAAAGTCTAAAACCACTAGAACATTGATTGCAGGAAATTTGTCTGATCCTAAGCAGCTATTAAAAGATTTACCTCGACAATTTCAAGGCTTGTACTGCAATATTTCAAATCAATAGTTGAACCAGCAATATGTAAAGCTGAAACATCAGGTCTATGATATTCCAAGGGATGAAGGTGCTCTAAAGGATGAAATTTAAGTGTTGATCCTCTTGAAGGGCATCTCAAATGGTAATATTCACATAGTATTTGTAATGATCCATGATTGTTTGCCTGTAAATAAGAGGAAAAAACCATTTTAACAGTTAGAAGGAACATGGGGCTGTACCACAGAGCAATCTCCCTCTATAGAATTTGAAAGGACAACACATTACCTTAGCCCATTCAAGAATATCAATATGATCACTGGAATCTTCCAGACCAGAAGTAGATGTATCTTCAGTCTCCGTGTCATCCACATCACTTCGGAAATTCCTGCCTTCACAAGGGGAACCTTGAAAACTGCATAGAAACATTTAAAAAGGCATTTTTCAGAAGGCAGCAATATACTTAGTTATCTCAACCCAGGAAAGTGTGCCTGTGTAAACACATGCAGATATGTATGTATAGAGTTCAGTCAAATGGCCTACCTGGACGATGATTCAGAGCTCTCATACTGATAATAACGAAACAGTGGCAAAACAGCAATAGGCAAAGGTCTTTCAGCTGTTTGCTTGTTTGTTGTAAAACCATCCACATCAACATCACAATCATCAGGATTTGCATCATTAGATTCTTTTTTTTCTTCAACTATTTCATCTTCCATATCAACTGGGAGAACAATACCATGATTAGAAGCTATTTCGGAGTGAAAATCCCCCTCGAGAATCTGATGCTCCAGCCGTTGCCCATAAGCAGCTGCAACTCTTGCAGGTTTAGAATATACAAACCCAGAGGATTCAATTGTTGACTTTGGTGTGTCCTCCAGAACTCTATGACTCAATGATACGTCATACAGGTTTTCTTCAATGTCATAACCTTCTGACAATTTCAAATTCAGATCACCAATACTTTTTGTTAACCGTTCCAATCTTTCTTCATTAAAGATGCTACACAAAAATAATACACATTTCAATATAACCGCTTCGATACTCGTCCACATACTGTATCAAGTACAATTACCTTCCACCAAAAGAGCAAGAAGGTAGGAGTTGCAAACTTACAAACTTATGCAAAATGTAAAACCAGAAACATTCCATTTGTGAGGTTCTTTTATTATGAATTTTGTTCCATTGTTATGGATCTTATCACCATTTTCACAGCAATAATATAAACAAGCATATATTTTTAACTCAATGAAAAAACTTGCATCGCAATTGCATGACACAGCAAGCATATAGCATAGTGTACAAGGAAGCTTTTATGTAAAAATTTCTTCTTGTGCTATTAAGCATTACACCAAGTCCCGCATCACACCCATGAAAATTTTGTCCTATAGTGAATGATCTCAAAATCCATTTATTAATTTATCAACCTTTTTAGCAGTCAAGATCAATATTCAAGTTTGATGCAATAAGGAAGTAAGGCATTATTATCAGGACTTGCCATCTCTTGTACCCATCAATGTGTAATACATACATGCAAAAGCCATAGCCTTAGTTATACCCATCACTCGCAAACACATTAATATTCAGGAACATAAATAGTTTTAGCGAATGGAAGTTCAACTTTCAGTAGATTGTGAGGGCATTAGTCATCAAACAGTTTAGAGGGCAGAAATTTCTAGACATGATAAAAGAAAAAGGTAAATGATTCAAATAGTATAAAAACACACCTATTCAACACACCAAAGTGCATCTCAAAGAATGGAAGCCTTGAAAGAATGCAATAACATCTGTGAGTGGTCAGTACATAACGACTCAAAGACTGGTAGGCAGGCAGTCTATCTGAAATCATGGAAAGTAATCCAGAGGGTTTTTGGACAATTTCCTCAACTAACACACAGCATCCATACAAAGTGGAATCATCAGCAACCTAGGAAACAAAAACAGCATGGTGACTCATCCAAGAATTGCAGAGGAACAATACAGAGACATTCAAAACCAAGCCAGCAGCTAAGAAACAGAATTTACTGTTCCATGAAAATAAAAGAAGAAACTAGGGCTGTAATAAGCAAATCAAGTGCCAACCAAAGCAGAAAGTACATCTTGGAAAAAAAATATCATTGAAAAGTGACTAACTCAAATTTTTAAATAACAAAATAATAGGCAGTAATTCAATCAACATGAAGATCAAGCAAAGATGAGTTTAAGTTCCGCAAACAAAACAAGAGTGAATAACACCCACAATTAGTGACTAACAACTCAAAAAAGGGAATCCAAAATCCATCAACTCAACAAAATTTTCTTTTGCCCATTGAAAAAAAAAAAAAAAAAGAAGAAGAAGGAAGTTTATGGCACATTGATTTTTGGGCTTCTCACTCTCAGGTTCCAAAAAGGGTCCATGTTTACTAACATCGCAATAAACCATCCATTAATTTGCAGTCCTCTGATGAAACAACAGCAAACTAGCTAGTTCATATGATTTTTTGAACTGCAATCATAGACTTTTGGGACTATCTTCACCATTATGCATGTTAAAAGTTTAAACATAACAAGTTGGTTAGACACTTAAGATTTAAACCTAAGGAAACAATATTTTAACCAAAAAAAAAAAAAAAAGAGCTTCTCCTTCTTTGGGCCAAAAATTAGCATACATTTGATTCCAACTCATAAGGCAGGTAGAACATTTGTTGTGGAAAAAGATCATCTGCATAGTAAGCACTTGTTTGAAACAGGAGCAAAATATTAAAGAGCAAGAAAGTAGAAACCAAATGGCATTCTACTTCAAAGCTTACCTGTAACCGGAATACAAATGACAGGTCACTTTGTTTTCGGTGTTCCTACAAGACAAGCCACCCAACAAACATCAGCATTGGATAAAAATTAAGACCTCAAATTTTACATGTACACATGCATGTTTATCTTTGCAAATATAAATATACCAAGCTGCCTAGATGATTATGAGAAAAGCCAAATTGATTGTAACCCAATGTGCTATTTATGTCAGTACCTCTGAGTAAATTTTTTTTTTTTTTTTAAAGAACCATTGAGTTTATATTGATTGGTAGATTGACTGGCATTGTCTAAATTCTACAGTCAAAGTGTTGTTCTCAGTCTCTTGTACTGTATTCTAGGTTATCATCAAGACCAGAAAGCGAACAAGATGTTATTGAGCAAAATCAGAAAACTGCTAAAAGTGTGAGTGGAAACATCAACCGATGGAGAGTTAGATATGACCACATGATGAGATGAAATAGAAGTAAGGATATTCTTATAACTGAATAGGTAAAAACAATAGGATTTTTCCGAGTAAACAATTCCACAAAGACATCTAAAACTTATTGGGACAACAAATTTTAACACTCTATAAGGTACACCATTAAGAAGATTACAAGAAAGCAGCATGAGATGATCTATCATGAAGGGAATATATGCATTACATTTTAGCATAATTACCTGTGAAAGGAGAATTTCATTTAGCTCACTCATGGAAGGAGTTCTTTCAACAGCATTAACCTGAAGTAAACAGTATAATGAGTTTCAGAAGCACTTAACAACAAAGCATATACATATTGAGAAACAACGTCCATGATAAAGAACACAAACCAAATTAAATTCAAAATTTATCAATGGGGAATCAGGTAGCTGTGTGGCATCAACATTTTTCAAAAAGGAAAGTACAATGTCATCTGCATCCTACTGCAATGACAAAGTCCTGAATGATGTCTACTGTTCAAAATGAGAATGCATCTCTGGTTATTAAATAACAAATTGCATTACTTAACCTATTCAAACAATATCAAAGGCTAAATGAAAAACAAGAGGTATACAGAGTAAGAAACAGACAAAGAAGCCACCTCTTAGCCTATTTGTGTCAAGCAGCTTTGAAATTCCACAAAATTCTTCATAAAACATCATCTTGACACACAATGACTGATGTAAAAGACCCCAAATGTGGTATTTATTTTTCTTATGCTGCCTAGAAGAGATCCAGAGAGTGGCTTCCAGACTAAACCTAAGTTGCCATTATATACTAGCATTGATCAGTAAGAAACTAAGAATTCAACAATAAGAGAACTGAAAAAGCATATCAGTCACAGTCTATGGATCCAGAAAACAAAACAGAAAAGCACAACAGAACTGTCTAATAACATCTAAAAGAGTTTTAAAAGAGGGAGAAAGAATGAGGAAGAAAAAGAAGACAAATGAAACATCAAGCAATAGCCAACCTCCGGGCCTCCAGGGAAGCAAAATGAGAGCAGATCCTTGTATTTAAGTGGCAATTGCTTTTCTGGTGGGTAAACAAATAAGACCTGGAAACAGATAGAAAGTCAAAACATAATAATAACCACCACCCTGCAGCTGCCCCAACTCCCACTCCACGCCCAAAAGAATAAATAAATAAGGGTAAGAAACCAAACATATTTTAAGAAACCTCACCTGGGGTTCAAGATTTGGTTCTACACGAGAATCATTCTGATAACTAAGTGCACCATGCAATTTATCAGAACCTTCAAACCTTCCGGTGATATATTGGCTTTGAAGTGCCTGAATATCACAATGTGGATGAAGCCCAACAACAACCATGCTCTCAAAAAGCCTTGATGGTTCTTTCAAAGGTCTATGATCCTGCAAACTTATTGAAAACAAAACATTATGAAAACACAACTAATTGAATTTCCTTCTTTTTTAGCTAATGTATTGGCCTACTGGAGGAAAAGAGGATATGGAAAACACCTATCAATGAACTTTTAAGTATCATAGCAGCCTTAAAGTTTAAAACACACAAATGACAAGCATTCAGTTTGTGAGCAGTAAATGCTGGAGCTAAAAGCATTAAATGGAACAAGCAAGAAAAAAAGGGATTTAAACACTTCAGCAGAAAATTTCTAAGGAACTCTTTCTCTGCATAAACAAGTAGCATTATGAAGAAAGGTTACACTGAAACTTGAAAGAAGCGTCATACCAAGTTTTGCAACTGAAAGCTAGCCCATTGACGCTTTTGGCTTGTCAGAACTTCAGGATTGTAGTTTCCAGTTTTCACTTCAGTAGGCTGTGAGAAGCTTTCTATAACTTTTGCAACTTGGCGCTGTAGTTTCTGAAGTTTGCTACCACTATTTTCATCTTTAGACGAATACACAGAGGAAGGCCGGGAGGAATTCATAGCTGTGGCAGCTGCAGCAACAGCTCTTGCAACATCTTCAGTTGTCTGCGTCAAAAATGAAGCACCCCATCCAGATCCAGGACTACCAGCGTCCTCATTCGTAGACATTTTAGAAGCTTCTCTACCCTAATCACTGCAAAATAAGAAAACGGCAACCAAGTTTCAAAAGGTTAGCACCTACACACATGCAAAGATCAAAGACTCTATAGCAGGCTGTATATTGAATAGCTATCTATCAAAAGACTGCAAAACCCGAAAAACCCAGCTTGCTCAATTTGGCTTTGGCAGTGGGAATTCTCAAAAGAAACCATCTTTAATCCAATCAAACAAAGATAAATCCTTTTATCATCATCATTTTATGTAAAGTTTCTCTAACTGGATAGAATCATTCAGTTACAACACCTTGATTAAAAATTCAGTTACTCAAATCTAACTTTGACAAGAAGAATTAAAAATAATTTTTTTTTAAAAAGTATAAATTTTATGCTCTAAAGTGCACCAATTCACATATAATTAGCAGAAAAATTATCAAATTACCAATTCGGAAGGGGAAAACAGCTTTCCACCCGAGATGGGTCAGAGCTTAAACAGCAAACAGAAGTACCAACAAATGAACTTTGAGATGGTCAGCCAGCATGAAAATCAGCTTTCTAAGAAAACAAAATTAATCAACTTAGAGCTATTTCTGCAACACAAACAATCAAACAAAATTCCCACAAAAATTTATTGAAAGGACTCACCTTCTGAAGAACTAAGAGGTAGAAACTAGAAAGCTTTGCAGAGGCAGAGAGCTTAAGCAAACAGTAATTGAGAAACCACTGCTTACGCCAAAAGCTTTAATTTTTTATTCTGAACAGGGAAGAAATGGCCCAGGGGAGACGGATTATTGCACTCAATTACATTAATGTATTCCTTAATTAATAAAAAAAAAATGAATACTCCACTCAAGAACATCAGGAGTTATTACAACGCGTGAGAGAAAGAACCCTCCTCGGATACGTCGTCGCCGTCGAGGACGATAAGAAAGGGGACAAGAAAAGAGAGAGTAGAAGGTCGGATTCCTTCCTTTCTTGTCGCCGTCGATGATGTTGTGCTGACTCTCCTGTCCCCGTCTGAGCACCAGAAATGGAAGTGGAGGGCTTTTGTTCACTAATAATAAACCATTTCATGTTACTACAGTAATTTTAATTAATATAGGCAAAAACCCTTCTTAAGCCCGTAAACTTACCCCAAAATAGCCTTTAAGTCCTTAAACTAAAAACAAAACAGATAAGCCCTCCAACTCTACTAATGCAAATAAACCCTTTTTATTCATGGATGTTCATGGTTTCAAGGTGATACTAAACATGAAATACTGTTTGAGTAATTTTTGAAAAGGGTTTATTTGTATCGTTAGTAGAGTTGGTAAACTTATCTGTTTTATTTTTAGTTTAAAGACTTAAATATTATTTTAGAATAAATTTGAGGGTTTAAAAAGAGTTTTTGCCATTAATATATACCACTTTTCAAAGTACCACTAAAAATTTAGTATACCAGGATTTATTTCTTATTTAATTCCTCCTACCTAAACAACATGCAACTTGCAAAAACATCATCATTTCTTTCTATCTTGTGTTGCATGCAAAGTATAGGAGACAATAATCATCTATTACATTTTTATTTATTTTTATTACTTAGGATGATAAGCTATAAAATGGGAATAACTCTTCTCAAATTCTTTTTCATCCATCTCAAAATATAAATTTAAAATTTTTAATATAAAAATTCAATATCTTAATTGTTAAATTGTTCTTTAAAGATATTCTTTCTTATTAATTAACTCACACCACTTACTTGCACATGATTTCATTTAAATTTAAAATCTCTTTAAAAGATTATTAATGACTGCTTAGGAGAGAATCATTTTTTGTTTTTGGCCAAGGGAGAATCTTTTGCTAGCATTACATTGACCTTTAAGTTTGTGAGGAGAGAAGAGGCAAAGATCATATACTCCAGTTGAATTAAAATAGTAATTTAGTGTCTTAATTTAATTAGACGAAATTGTCTTTCCTTTTATTTTTGTTAAACTTAAGAGGTTCTCCAATTAATTAGTCTACATGATAGATGTTTCTACCATATATTATTAGTTCGCAAAATATTAAATAAGCTAAAATTTAAATAACTTAATGAATTAACACTCGAGAAAAATAATTTACCAGCACTCTAACATTTTAAATGTAAAAAAAAAAAAAAATCTTAACTCTTATTTTTCTCAAAAATTTATGTCACTTGAAACATAACATAAGGGTTGTGGTAAAAAGAAAGGCACAAATTAGTAGTATAATTATTGTATCTTTTTAATATTAATTCATATAAAAATTATAAAAGTTAATATTTATTTAATTAATTATTTAATTAAAATAATTTCTATAATATTACTATTAAAATTAATTTTAATTTTTTAATATTAATTAATATCAAAAAAATATAACAATAATATCATCAACTTATTTTTTTAAAGACATAAATTATGAAAACCTAAAAAGAAAAGTGAAAATGTGAGTGTTAAAAAAATAAGCGAAGGGAATGGGAGAAAATGATTGTATCTTCTTCTAACTTTCATTTTCTCCCTTTCATTTTTCCCAAACCAAACTTGTGACTAAGTTGAACTCAAATTTTGTTTTCTTTATTTTAGAGTAAAAAATCAAAATAAATTATGCGTTTACAAAAGATTTTTTTTGAAAATAAGCAATGAGCATTTACAAAAGATTTTAACGCTAAATTGTTTTTCAAATTTTTTTTTTTGTATTAACTTTTCAATATCTGATCATCACATTAAATCTCGATTAATTCAAAATAAAGTTTCTCAATACTTATTTTTTTATTCAAAAAACTCAGATTTAAGATTTTATTGAAAGAAAATCGAGTATTTTTGAGTCAAAACAACATATAATTAGTAATTTCTTTTCAATTTGCAGAGTAAAGGATGCTATAGTTTGGTGGAGATAATGACACGTAGAACATAAGCTACGTGTGTGGATGAGATTCGGTTTCGTAGGTGGACTAACCGACTAAAGCGTGGGGGACCACACAATCGATGAGATGACATGTAGGGTTACATCGGACGATAGGGAGAAGAGGTTGTGCCGCCACCAATTGCGACCGTTTGACTACGTGTCCGTTGTATGTCTTTGACTTTTTGCACTTCAACATCAAAGTTTGAGTTTCCTTGCCCTGGCTGCGGCTATCAGGAGCGCTCCCATCAAAAGTCATTATTTTACTGACCGAAACAATTTAAATGGCAAAAAAATACATTATATATATATAATTGAAGCAATATTTTTTTCTTTTAATTTAATCTATTTATATATCATATCATGTAAATTAAACTCAAGTTATCATTATAGTTAAATGAGTTATAGTAGTCAAAATGACTTGGGTATGTTATTGGCCTAATAATTTTATTGGTTTAATAATTTTTGGATAAAATTTTAAAAATTTAAATTTAAATTGTTAATAATAACTTATTATTTATATGTCAGACACATTGTCACTTTTTTGTTATTGTAAGATGTGAAACATTATAATTATATTCAATGTTTTTGGGCTCGATCCGATGGTTGATCCGTTTTGACCATTGAGTCCGATTGAACCGGTTGAACAAGTTCACTCAATCAATCCAATTAGTCAACTAAAAAAAATCCTTTTTTTTTTTTTACATTTATTAGATTTTACTATTTTATATTAATCATCATTGGATCCTGTTCTGTTGCTACTGCTCAGTTCTACTGCGAAGTTAAGTGAAGGAAAAGATGAGCCGTGAAAGGCTGGAAGGGGTTGCCGATAGTGGTGGTTGAGAGCAGATGTAGATCTGTTCTACTGCTGCTGCTGCTCAATTCAGTGAAGGAGAAGTTGTTGTTGTTTGGTGGAGGAAGGCAAGGAAGATGAGCTG